TCGGCATTCATGGCCTTATACGCCTTCGCCTCGGTGCTCGTGTGCTGGGTGGGCTGGGGCTACCAAATGTCATTCGGAGACAAAATGATTCCTTTCCTTGGCAGGCCTGATGTTTCCTTGGACCAAAAGTTTCTTTTGGACCGAGCCTTTCTTGGGTACTTGCCTAATGCGACCATGGTTTATTTCCAGTTTGTGTTTGCTGCGATCACCTTGATTTTGGTTGCTGGGGCGTTGCTGGGAAGGATGAATTTTCATGCGTGGATGCTGTTTGTACCACTGTGGCTTACCTTCTCTTACACTATCACTGCTTATAGTATATGGTGCCCATCTGGTTGGTTAGCTAAGCGAGGGATCATTGATTACTCTGGAGGATATGTCATTCACCTTTCATCCGGCGTTGCTGGTTTTACTGCAGCTTATTGGGTAACTAACTATCATTGACCACTCTATTGCTCAGTTAAAAACTAAAATTAAGAAGTTGTGAGTCCAACTTTATGTCATGCTAACAGTTTGTGTGGAACAGGTGGGACCAAGGACAAACAAGGACAGAGAAAGGTTCCCACCAAACAACATTATACTGATGTTGGCAGGTGCTGGGCTGCTTTGGATGGGATGGAGTGGTTTCAACGGCGGTGATCCTTACACTGTCAGCACAGACGCATCTCTGGCCGTTCTTAACACTCATGTCTGCACCGCCACCAGTTTGTTGACCTGGCTCCTTCTTGACATCCTTTTCTTCGGAAAGCCCTCTGTCATTGGAGCCACACAAGGCATGATCACTGGTCTGGTTTGCATCACCCCTGCTGCAGGTAAATCGTCGTCACCCTTGTTTTTGGCCATCATCCCCTGGCAATGAATTTAAAAAATTTCAATGCTTTGTAATCTGGAAGAACCTCTTAAAGGGGAAACTATAGCTAGAAACAACTTGGGGACATCGATTTGTCTAACTTTGTTAGATAATATTCTCTACATTTAAAGTTTCGATCAGAACAGCCTAGATTCTTTGGATACAAGACAAGGTTGTTGAATTTACATGTTTCGCATCTCCTCTTGATTAGCTTAGTTAAAATTGGCTTAGATGAGTCAATCACATGCACTTTAATTAGCGTTGGCCAATTTCATAAAGGTTCAAAAATCTTCCATTGAACAGGAGTTGTGCAAGGTTGGGCTGCAATCCTAATGGGAGTAATGTCTGGTAGCATCCCATGGTACACTATGATGGTCCTGCACAAGAAATTGTGGCTCCTCAAACAAGTCGATGACACCATGGCAGTTTTCCACACCCATGCTGTTGCAGGGAGCTTGGGAGGCATCCTGACAGGCTTCTTTGCGCATCCTAAGCTCAACCGAATCTTTTACTTGGTGCCTGACTGGCAGCACTACATAGGACTTGCCTATGGCCTGCAAATGGGCAGGGCCACTGCAGGATTCAAGCAAATGGGCATTCAGTTGCTAGGAATTCTCTTTGTGGTTTCTCTTAACGTTTTTGTCACTAGTATTATATGCTTGTTGATTAGGATTGTAGTTCCGTTAAGATTGTCTGATGAGGAATTGCAAACCGGTGATGATGCCATCCATGGAGAAGAGGCCTATGCATTGTGGGGTGATGGGGAGAAGTACGAGTCCAGGCATAATTCAGCTTATGGTGTTGAAGAGTTCCCTCAAGATGTACCCAAAGGTGGTCAAGTGGAGATGGCTTGATTTGGCCGTGCTTATCTGCCAAGCACAGAACACGACACTGATAATATGACAGGGTACTGTGGGGTTCCAACCTTGAAAGTCTCCCCTCTTTTTTCTCCATGTTGCTGTGTTTTTACATTTCTTTTTTTTCTTTGATGGATTCTTAATTGGGGGTCGAGTGATAAATATGACTTGGATGTACTCATTGCTTCAAATAAGAGCTTGAATGACATGGGATTTCTATTTTCTAGTGATTGCTCGTGCATGTATCGCATTTCTTGATTTAGAGAAACCTTAATTTGCAAGATTACTTGAGATTTTCTGCTAAAGTCCAGACACTTAAATCTCTCATCAAGACTGTAAAATAGTGTGAATTACAGCACCAATGGAAGTGGGTTATGTTCATTCTTCCTATTGTCATGGAGAATCGGATCCAAGTCCTATGGGATGATTGAAGCAGGAGGCAATTTACTGATCTTGAGGCTTTATGGGCCTGCAATGGCATGTGCCGTATCGAGGAAATGAATAAAAAAAGCAAACAGAAAAGGACAGCATTGAAAGGCACTTTGCTGGCCGAATGAGGTTAGTTCCGTCTGTCGCTCGAAAAAGAAAGGCACTTTGCCAAGTGTGGCGGACGGAAGGCCTATCAAGAAAGACAATTTTGACAAGACGAATCTTTGTGGTGGTGTGGCCGCCACCAATGTGCATGTTAATTAATCAAATAATAAACAAAAAATTAAAATAATTCTTAGTTGGCCACCTAACATGGAAATCTTACTGTCGTGTTTGAAATTCAACAAAGAATAATTTTCTATATATATTTTAATTGTCTACGTGTTTATATAAATTTCAAAGAAGGGATGTTTTCATATTTTTTATGGAGTGGAATTAGAAAATAGCCCTTGGGATTAACTTTTGATAAATAAATAAAAATTATTGTATGGGCTAATAAGTGAAAGATGCTTATGTCCTTTGGTCTGTACATATAGTTTTTTTCAGAGATCGTTAATCGCTTTTTAGAATGAAGTTTGAAATATCATGATATCTTTTATTAGATGAGTTGGTGCGTGTCAACCTCTATGCTATGGTGGAGCTTTAATTACAATTTTTCTCTCTCTGTTTTTTTTTTTTTTTTTTTCTATACCTTAAATGCATATTGGTCTTGCAAAGTTATTAAATGGTCCTTGATCTTTTAATTATATTAAGTTTGATTTATTTATTTATTTATTTTATTTTTTATCATTTAATTTTTTTAATCAAATTCAATCCTTTTTTATTTGATACCTTTTTTATTTTGCTTTTATTTTTTTTATTGGATTTTATTTTTTTATTTAATCCATAATTATTTGATTTTAATTTTTTTATTGAATTTGATTCATCATTCTTATAATTGCAAATCTTTTTATCTTCAGTTTTTTTCTTAATTGTTTTTAACAATTTTATCCCTTATTGTTTAATTTCATTGAATTTTCATACCATATTTAATGTTTTTTTTGCCATGCATTTCCGGGAGTCAACCTCCATCATGTTCTAGGTCATGTGGTTGGGTCAAATGACCAAGACTATCGGGATCAATCAAATTTTTTATCATTGATTTTTTATTTGACATAACTTTTTCTCGGTAAATCACTCAATTTTTTATTTGGTTAAAAAATAAAAATGATATTATTTGACATAACCAATTATTTTAATTAGTTTTTCTTTATTTTGAATTTTTTTATTTATATATATATTCTTGATTACTTTTTTTATTTTTTTTCTTTTAATTTTGTCTCTCAATATTTTTTTTTCTATATTTAGTCCTATTTTTTTAATTATTTTTTTATCCTTTTTTTTTTTTTTTTTCTTCAGTTTTGTCCCTCAATATTTTATTTTATTTGTTTATTTTTAATCAATTTTGGTTCCATTCTTTTAGTTGCTTTTTTTTTTACTTATTTTTTTTTCAATTAATTCTCTCATTATTTTATTTTAATAATTTCCATATTAGATTAGGTTTTTATTATTTTGATTATTATTTATTTATTTTTAATTTTTTTAATAGTTGAGAATTTTATTTAATTTTATATGATTATTTCAACCTCATGACAAAAGTTACTAGTTTTGAAGATTAGCCCGATTTAATTTTTATTTTTTTATTTTTTATATTATTTAATGTTAGGTAGGTTGTTAGGTATCAAACTTTTATTATTATTATTATTATTCTTAGGTTATCTTGGATGATGGGTTAATTAAATTAACATAAATTTATTAAAAATATTATTGTTTAAATATTTTTTTAGGTTAAAAAAACTTAACTTAATCCCATAGCATAGCATAGGCGAAAAAAAAAATATAGGAGGTTCTTTATTTGCTCGCGGGTGAACTGATAGCACTACAAACATTTTAATATATGCATGTATTAAAGGACCCACGTGTTGAATAAAATATAGAATGCAAAATTATTATTTTTTTGAAATATAAGTTAAAATAATAACCGAATGCATCACCCTTTGAAATTATGAGCACGCTTGGCTCCATCATGGTTCGTTATGAGAAAACATAAGATTGCAAATATTAAATTATTAGATTATAATTATAAAATAAAGCGTTTTTTTGCTGGAAGTAAAATCATTAACTATTTGATTGTCAAATTGACATGATATTATAATTAAAATTACTACTAAAGAAGTAAATTAACATTAATTTTTAAGAAATTAAATAAAATTAGTACTTGAAAAAATGAATTTATTTTTGATAAATTTTTAAAATAATGCCATGGAGATATCTCAACAAACTTAATTATTTTAAAGGGGTATAAATATAAATAAAAAAATCATCATCTAATTTTATGGTTATTGAGAATTCAAACTAATTTTTAGATATTTTTTTATAGATAGTTGATTGTACTAAAATAAAAATAAAAATTACCATAAAATATTATATTTAAGATAAATTGTATTAGTATTTGATTTTAATAATAAAAATATCTATTGTTCATATATGCTAATATTCACCTAAACTATATATATAAATTTTGATTTTTTATCACATGGTAAACATTTATGTCCAAAATGGAGACAATAAATGCAAGGTGAAGTTACTCGTGGTAGTAATCCAAGGGCAATTCAAATCGATTAAATAACATTTAAATTTCAAATCTTCAAAAAAGTCATCCTCTAAAACACAAGTTTAAAGTACAATTTTTTTGGAAAGACCATGTAAAACTAAGCCATGGAAAATAAAGATTATCTCATATTTTCATGGGAAAAAAGTCTTTAATTTTTTTTTTCATATTGTCCCACCAAATATTCCTAACTAATATAATATTAAATAAAAAAATAAAAAAACAATTTACAAAAAAAATATAAAACAGACTGCCAACTTCGTGTAATCTCTTAAATCCATGACATGAGTCATGATAAATTAAACCAAAAAAGGCAAAACTATAAAAATTATAAAGTTAAATTATTAATCAACCAAATAATAAGAGGTAAAGTTAAAAAAATCAATAAAATAGGATTAAAAAGAATAAAGATCAAAATTAATATAAAAATAAAATAAAATCAAAACATAAAGGATGAAATTGAAAAAGAAAATAATTAAGAAAAATACAAGAAAAAACCAAATAAAAAAAACAAGAATCAAATTTGATAAAAAAATAAAATGTCAAAAAATAAAATTAATAAATAAATAAATTAACTTTGATACAATCAAAAGAATAAAAATTAAATATAATAAAATTAATAAATGACCACACTTTTATGAATTTTTGCAAGGACAATGTGTGTTTCAAAGGTAAAGAGAGAGGAGAAAAATCATTATAAAAGTTACACCGTATAAAGGGAGGTGACACACATCCAACCAGCATGAAAAGAACAACTGAAGACTTCGAGCATTGCAATAAAATATGGTGTTTGATTATTGAAAGGTGTTACAAATACTGCTTAAATGATGTTTGCATTTTCTATTTGCTAAAACATGTGTTACATGAAATATTAATTTTTAATTTAAAATAATATTATACTTTAATTAAAAGTTTTAAATATCTCAAATTAACTTGGCAATTCTAAAAAAGATTAAATGAGGTAATGAAAACAACCTTTACCTTAATTTCAAGAAATTTTAATTTTAAATGTTATTCCAGTATCTTAATGCATAAAAAATCTTGAAATGCTAGAAAAGTCCTCACCTTAAATTCAATTAACTTAGCTTTCAAGGTGGTTTAATAATTTTATTGGGCAACTAAAAAGTGAAAGTCTTGTTTAATTTTGAATTGATATTTTAAAATAGTATAAAAAAAAATCATTTTACCTCACTCTAACTAGATGATAAGTTTTAAGTTATTAAGGATAAAATAATAATTTTAATATATAAATTTATTATAAAATAAAAATTAATTTTATATTTTTATTTAATTAATTAGATTAATATTTTCATCTACAGATGAACTCATCATATTATTATTAATTGTGGAACCATCGTATCATAAAGTATAGAGATCTAATCAATACCAAGAAAAAAAAAAAAAAGAGGCAGAGTTTTGAAATTTGACCCGGCGAGTTGACCTAGGATTCTACTGATCCGGGGCTAGAATTCAGCCAGATTAAAAAAAATAAAAAAAAATCTGATGTGACCCGGCTGACCTCGCAGGTTGACCCGGTCAAGAACCGGTTACAAACCAGTTGACTTTTTATTTTTTTTATTAAAATAATATCGTTTTGATTTTTTTAAAAAATAAAATTTGACCATGGCGACCCAATGACCCATCAAAACCTGGAACCCGGGCCTTGGACCGGGCCGGATATTAAAACTATGGTAGAAGGTCTCAATAAAATAAATTCAAAGAGTATAGGGACTAATATGGAATTGGGCGGTGACAGTGAAAAAATCATTTTGAGGCAAAAGTAAAGCAGCTTTCAAAGGAAAGAAGAAAAAAGGTCGCTGTATTTTCTGCCCAATCAAAAAAGAAATGAAATAAAAACAGCCAGAGCCTCGAGGACTCCCCTACCATAAAGAAAAGTAGAAGAATCGTTGGGACATTTTCTCTGCCTTCTGTTTGGCTGTAGATCAATCTACAGGGTTGTATTAACAGATTCTTGTTTTCAATTTAATGCGGTGAAGTGGGATATTTCGTAATACAAGGAAAAAGAGAAAGGAGTGATATTTGAGGTGTGGGAACTTAACTGTCGCCGGAAAAAGAAATGGAGTCTGAAACGGCTTCGTCGGTTGATGAACAAGTTGGTGGTGGTGGAGGAGCGTCAGTGGTAGCTGATACGAGAGGAAAGCACAGGATTCTTGCAGAGCTGAAGCGCGTGGAGCAAGAAATGAAGTTTTTGGAGGTCGGTTTCGATTTCTGTCATTTTTCTGCCTTTTGTTTTTGGATGGACATAATAAATGTCAAGCGAGCCTACATGATTTTGAGGTTTTAGTGTATGAGATGTGCCTTTTAGGTTTGCTTTATAGGAAAATGTTGTTCGTTATGAATGTTGCTGCGTCCTTTAGCTTATTCTATCTTAGATCACTGGAAATGATGCGAAAGATTATTTCCTTTTTTCAGCATGTAAGACCGTTGACTGGACATTGGCTTAGGTTTATGCTTAATGTACTGACTGGGTCTGGACTGGACATTGGCATCGAAAAAGGTTTTGGCTTTGATTGAATTGCATGAAAAGAGAGGTATGAGGGATCGCTGGGAACTTTGGAGCAAGCTAGACGATTGTATAGGAAAATTGAATCTTTATGGTTTATTCAAGAAATTTGAAATTGAATTCCTATAGTCAATGCAAGTGGAAAATGTTACGTTATCTAAATTAGACGAGCTTAATATGTTGCAATTTTTTGTACAGGACTGAAAGTCACCTCAAAGTATGGAATTTATTGTGTAGAAAATGGACTCATGGAAAAACTGAAGAATGCAGGGCGTAATTGTTATACTTGTTATGCTAAATTCAGTATTTGTATACCGTAAAAATAGCTATTGAGCTTTGGCTCATAGGTTAGGGTTTAGTCCTTCGGCTGCTTGTAGTACGGGTTTGAGGCATTTCTGTCATATAATTGTAGCTAGTTACAACTGTTTGCTTATGATTAAGTACCCCACTGACATTGTGGATCTGTGGAGAATTTGAAAAGGCGTTAAAACATTAACATGTCTCTGAAAATCACTATCTAGCTACATGTTTATGCATTTACTCTTGACTATATTTCTTGAATCAAGACAACTTCATTTCACCTGGTATATTAGGGTTTCCCACTGTCTTGATGGGGAAGTTATCAGTAGGGGTTGAGTTTGCAGGTTATCAGCAGGGGTTGAGTTTGCTCCGCACTCAAAAGTTTTTTTCCAAACCATGTTGTGCAAATCAATGTGGGTGCATTATCATCTCCATTTCTTCTTTTTTATACAAGTTATGCGTCATTGGCATGGACTCAGTGTTGGAGTGTATTCTGGATTCATCTTATCTTGTTGTTTCATCAACTTTTTTTAGGAAGAGTTGGAGGAGCTTGAGAAAACAGATAATTTATCAATTGTGTGTGAAGAGTAAGTATAACAAATGATTTTCATTTTCATTTTCAAAACTAAGGGATCTGCTCAATAGCTCCCCAGCCTCTTCTCCAAGTTTTAAAGAATTTTACTAGGATTGAAACATGTTGTATTGTTGCTCCTCAGGTTGCTGCGCAATGTTGAGAACAGGCCTGATCCCCTACTCTCACTGTAACTTCTCCAACAACTCAAATATGCTCTCTTGTTTTCCTAATTTGACCTATCATTATCGCCCATGATGCTCATTCATTGGTTTCTTCCATTACAGAACAAGTGGCCCTGCAAACCCCTTGTGGGATCGATGGTTTGAGGGGCCCCAGGATTCACAAGGTTGCAGGTGCAGTATACTCTGATTTGAAGCACTCTTAACATTTGTTGCTGGAAGGTTCAAGAGATGTTATCTAACAGATCTAGGAAAATATGAAAGAACTTATATTTCTTTAGCGAATGGTTATTGAATTTTTGCACTGCAATAGTGAGGCTTTGGGTTATGATAAAATTGTAAATCAAGTCATTTTTCAGAGATTCTCCGTCTCTTGAGTAGTGAAAGTGGTATCCTCCCATTCAGCAAGATGAAAATGTTTAGTGATTATTTTTATTCTTTGACAAATTCTTAATAGCTATTGAGAATCATCGAAGGGATTTTTTGCATTTCCAGAAAGCAGGTGGCTGGCTGTACAGTAGTCACTTCGTTTAATAGAATGCGTTAATGAGAAGAGGCATTGCGAAACAATATATAAACCGCTATTTGCGTTTTCACCCTATGCTATTTAGGAAGTCTGCTGCAACTCAATTATTCATGTGCATAAATGCAAGGAGTTCCCCATGAGAAATCCAACCATTTTCAAAAACTAAATAGCCTCTAATATTCCTTTGAAGCGAGTTTAACTCGACGGGTTCCATGATCTCTTCACACCGAGTCAGAAATGTAGGTCGTTGTTGTTTTAAAGCAGGGGATGGGACACTATTGATTTTAGTAGAGCAAAAAATCCTAACAGGCCTAAATCCGATGTTGAATCAGGCCGATACAGAGGCACATTCCATATACGATGGATCTTATATCACTTCAAAAGAGACTGCTGTTGTAGAACTGATAGCACCGGACTTCCAGACACTTAATTTAGGATAGATTGATGTTGCAGAAACTAACTTGCTTTTGTTTGATTTTCATTTCAAGAAGCAGAACCTCAAACACACCACAATTTTCATAACTGGTCGCCCACTGTAGGCAAAATCCTCCTACCCATCTTGCAATAGCCCTCTCCTGTGATAAAACCACAGGCTGACCTGTGTAGTCTTGATGCCCGAAGAAAATGAGAAAGCATGATGCTTGGAAGGAACTTCACGTGTGCAAGGCAAGCTCTATGCATTGAATATAATATGGAAGCTAGCTTAATTTTGACTCGACCACAACATTCTTTTTGTACAAATAACCTCATCTAGAGGTGCTAAATTCCATCAGCACGTACAAGACGAGGATTTCTATCACTACCGACCTTCAGGAATGGAAACTACAATACTTCAGAACTACATGGATATACAATCAGAAGTTGCAAGGACACCACCAACTATTAAGAATGAATGTGTTTGTTTTTGGAAAAAAATAAAATTATTTCAATTTTTTTTTTATGATTTCAAATTATTTTAATACGCTATTATTAAACATAGTTTTTTAAAAATAAAATAATATTATTTTCATGTATTTTCAAGCAAAAACAAAAACAACTACTACTATAATCTCAAACACTACAAGTAGTATGACATTCACAGGAACCAATCTCAGAGTTATCTATGGGTAGACCTACAAAGAAAGAATTCCAGGGGAAGAAGAAGATTACAGAACTTGGGTAGACAATAGCCGCCTCAGATGGAGTAGATGTTCCTCATCTGAAATATTAAGGGACAGGCGAAGATTTGTTAGAAGTGACTCTTGCTCCCAACTTAAAGGACCTGAAGCATACAATGCCCGCACAGTGGACCTATAAGCATGAAACTCTAGTTCATGGATTTCAGCACCTTGCTTTTGTTCAAAACAAGGAGTTAAACGCTTGATGACAGAAAAGGAAAGAAATGATGACTCGGCACCTGAGTTGTGGGATGTATTATCCAATGGTTTTTGGAATTTATGACTGGAGGAATCCACAAAGCCATTGGATCTACAACTAGCAACAGAACTTACAAGGTTGCTATCTTCAGTCAAACGAGGCCCGGGAGAAGTAAATAACCACTCATTAGTTGCTTTTACCACCTTGGCATTCATCTCGCTAGATCCCTTAAATTTCTCATCCACTCTTAATTTTTCTGAAGATGTGCTGTCTTCCCGCTTAAACAAAGGAAGATTCTTCGCAAGTTGCTTGTGACATCCTCCCACACAAGAAATCAGGTCCCTGGAATATCTTTCGAGATGCTGATGGTCAAGACCCTTTTTGATGTTATTGTGTCCATCCTCGAGGTGTTTCTGTCCATCTTTCTCTCGTAAGCATGGATCTTTTCTCACCACCAGAACTGGAGCCCTTCGCATCAAGCTAACGGAATGCTTTGACTTATTTTCTGTACAATTTTTGGTATATTCTTTATTGCGGGCAACCTGCAATTGAAGTTACTCAGATATTAGTAACAGTTTCTCCAACAAAATTTGCTAGAAACTTTTACCATTAGGACTAAAAGAATAAAGTGACCCAAATCTCTTCAAAATAAATGGTAACTGATCTCATACGAGCGTTTGAATTCACAGCAGAGGAAAACAAAATGCAAACTAAAAGCAAACTAAAAGCAAACTAAAAACAAACAAAGACTTCTATCAAGAGCAGCATGACACCTTGGTTCACCGAAGAAGACTTCAGGCCGTATGGGAGTGAATGACTGGAAAATACATGGATTTAACACAGAAAAAAACTGGTTATATGAGACATTGCAGTGAAAGAATACGTCAAGACCAAAAGATGGCTTCATAAAGTCAGAAGACGCATGCTTACAAGCAGAAGCACGCGTGCTAAATGGTCCCATATGGGAAAGGTAAGAAAAGCTTACCATTAAACTGACCTCTCGAGAACTTTTGCATGCAATGAAATTAAAAGGAGAATGTCAACCTTTCAGTTTGCAGATCAAAATGCAGTATACAATCTCTCAAAGTATGCTAAACTTGCATTTATCCATAGGGGGAGACGGGTTTTTAAAAAAAATGGAAAGGGCTAGTAAAAAATCAAAGCATAAGCAGGGGGGGAAAATACCTTTCCTATCACCAACCAATTATTGCTCCGCCAGGCCTGCTGAATCCTTATATTCGATTCATGAAATTCTTTAAGTTGGATGGACCCAAACAGTCTCACAACAAAAAGGTTATTCTTCAAAACCTTCGCAATTTTACCTTCTCTCCAACATTGAAAATCAAATATCTCAGCAGCATCACCAACAATCCATCTTTTCCTCTTTTTATGAGGAGGCTGAGGCCTGACATCCTCCTTGTGCACCTTCTCCATGACTGGCTCACCGTTGTTGTCTGAAAGTGATTCATACCTAATCTTACAATAATTGCCACGGGCTGAAACTACACTGGCAGGAAACCATGAGCGACATGATTCGTGTTCTCTTCTTAAAACCTCCACCAGATTCCCTTTTTTAAACTTCATGTTTCAAGAGTCTCCCCCGAGCTTGAACCTGAGAAAACAAACATTCACTTTAGCAAAAACAATAATTAGATTTGTATCCATACGATCTTTTAATATCATTACAAGAATGAACAGGAAGAAAATTATGCAAGATTCCTCCCAAACCTGCCAATAAATACTCAAAAATCCCATTTTGTTGCAGCAGATCGATGATATAAAGGATCAGATCAGTAAAGCAGGATACAATCTTAAGCATTGGCAGATCAAGCATACAAAGTGTTAGAGTTAAGATCTGAATCCCAACATATCATTTTCCTACCAAAAAAAGCATCATTTAAATTTTGGTCATCTATGGACAGCAATCAACAGAGACACAAACATAAGAATCACCAAACCTTCAACAATATAAGATATATTCATCAAACTTTGGAGGGATTAAAACAAAAGATTCATGCTTTAAAAATTTAACAGCCATCATATTATAGTTTAATCAGACCTCTTCTCTTGACTTTTAATTAACGTTGTCTAACATGTATTGGACAAAATCAGCACTAGAAAATTAGAAATATGTCACAACCAGATACATATCATCATTCTTTTCTTTCCCTTTTTCTCCTAACCAAAAAAAAAACCATTTTCTTTATTGAAAAAAAAAATCGACTCCTGCCCAGAATATTTATTAAAATCTTTAAACTACGAGTGACTGAAAAACTTTGGACTGCAAAACAAAAACAAATAAAACCATTCAAGCAAGAATAAAAAAAAGTAATTATGCTCAAGAAAAGAAGAAGATAATCAAGAAAAGAAAATACTGAAGCTGGCCTGAACGGGGAATAACAATCGCAAAAGAACAGAGACTCGGTTTTGTTGGGCTGAGGCTCATGACCACATCTTTACGCAGATTGGCTGGCTCTACGTTCCCAGCCTTCTTCATTGTTTGAAAAACTTTTTCCGGTATGGATTAGCTCATTTGATAGTAACTTAAAACCGCTTTCACGCTTAGTATTATCAACTATTTTGTCACACTTTAGCAATTTCATTGGACCGTTGATCCTTAGTTTTTCCTCTCACCCTCAAATTATTTGTGCACCATGAGTTTTTTTTTTTTATTGGACCGTTGATCCTTAGTTTTTCCTCTCACCCTCAAATTATTTGTGCCCCATGAGTTTTTTTTTTTTTAGTTAGAATATTTTTTATTTAGCGTTCAATTACTGAGGCTAGAAACTCTCTACGCTGTTACCTTCAACTAGCACTACATTTGTTGACGCATTACTATATTCCGTGTTAATTATATATATAAAAATTAACGCATTCAATGTTTAATATATAAAAAAAAAACCACTCCCCTCTAAAAATTTTATTTTTTAATTTATTTTTATTTCATGTAAATTAAAATTAAAATTAACCATAGTCGTTTAGTGGTTAAATCTGGAATGTTTTTCAATCGCTCTATGCTGGGTTGGGCCAGCAAAGAGGTGACCAATGCGTGGTAGCAGCTCCTCGTTGTGCTTCGGCGTTCACGAGTGATGGGCCAAATGGGTCGAGCGTGGGGGAAAGCGGTCGCTATAGTTTGGACTTCGGAGTTGGTTGATGTAACAATCTGCTTTCAACTGCTTCACGCAGTTCACACGGTTTTAAAGGGATTCTATTTATTTTCCCTTAACATTTTTATATTTATTTGGAAATTATTATTATTTTATTTAGTCAATCATAAGCTCGTCCTTGAAGTTTAATGAAACCAAATAATCAATCCCTGATCCATCTTTTTCCTTCTTGTATTCAAACCTTGTTTATATATATATATATATTTCATTCATGTTATGTATATTTTTTTTAAAAAGACAAATAATGGAACGGTAAATATAGTATCTGGAAAGGTGAAACTTTTTTTTATCTAGGAAAGAAGACATTTTTAGAGGAAAAATAATTAAATTAAAGACTATTTAAATATATTTGAAATTACAGACTAGTCAATTTGTTTTCTTCATAGACTACGATTAAATCATATTGCAGTCAGTGAGTTATAAATAACTCTATTATTTCAACCTTTAGCTTTATTTCAAGCTAGTTTTCTTAAAATGAAGTATGCGTTAGAAACAAATGATTCGTAAAATTATTTTAGAATTCATTCATCTTTGACAATTGATTTAATTACTAAAAATAAAATTATTATTAACAAAAATTATAATTTAATTATGCAGATAAAAGATTTATTAACAAGAGATTAAGTTATTCAGGTGATCCATGTCTACAAAAAAACAAATTCAATGACAAATTAGCTAACTAATAATAATTTAATTAGAAGTTGTTTTGATAAATTTTCTATTTTTTTTAATGATTTTTCTGTGGATTTTTACTATAATTTATGTTATGATATGGTTGAATCTGTTTAATTTAATTAGGCATTTAGCTTTAATTTCAACAAAAAAAATAAAAAAAAATAAGCATGCGATTTGACGACTATAATCATAAATACTCGTGATCATGGATAAAGATTCAACAAGAAATCTAACTTGAATACACTCACATGCATGTACTAATAAACTTTCAAATTCATGATTAGGTGGTCCACTGACCTAATCTTTATTTCAAATCTATTTTTGAATTAGGTTTGAAAAGTATAATCCTGTGACCATGACTACTGATTTGACTAAAAATTCAGTTTGAATAACAAGTGTAAATACATATTCGTTAAAATGCACTCGTGTTCATTTCATAATTAACTTTCTAATAATTTTTTAATCAGAGAATAAATGGAAATTATTAGATGAACATGACGAACCACTTGAAATTAGGATACATGAGGATATTTCTCACATTATAGCTGTGAATTGAATCAAAATTCTATTAAACATAAAAAATAATATTAAGTTGTAGAAAACTTATTAATATTATCTTTAAACTTAGTATAACGATAGAAGCTTAGAAAGTTTTTACCTGATTTTGTTTTAGTCTAAATTTTAAATTAAATTATATAAAAGTGTATTTTTAAATTAAATAAAAAAAAAGACAAAATGGGTTAATCATATTTAACCCACTAAACTTGCAATTAACGTTGTAGATTTTTTTGAATTAAATTAATTTTTTTTATTATATGATGAAGATTACAAAAATTGATTTACAATCAACTAAACAGTAATAAAATTTAATATTAAATAATAAAATTAAAAAAAAAACCTTACAGAATCAATAAAATAGAGTTGAGTTGCACAAGGTTGGTTTAACTATTTATATAAATAAGTATTTTTAAACCTCATCCTAAGCTTGGGTCATAGGTTTTAATCGGATTAAATATAATTTATTTATAAATTAAAATAATATTTTTTTAATAAAAAAATAATAAATGTTATCAGGTCATTAATCAAGTTTTTAATATTTTATTTTTTTTATATAAATCTCATCTCATTCCAACCATGAAGAAGTCGGGGCTTTAAAGCGATGATATCAACAGTGAACCAGATTAATATATTTGTTTGTATTGCGCAATAGCATTTTTATCTCATAGCTTGTTAATGCGTGTGAAATGAGCATGTTGCGGGTTCGACCTCCAGCTCAAACGGAGACAATATTTTATATTTTTTCATTTCACAGACAACCCACTGTTTATGTATTTTTTTTCCTTTAAATAAAAATAGACAGACAAAATTTCTAAACCTGGTTTGAAGAATAATATATTAACCCGCTTTAGAATTTGATTGAAAAGTCAAACCAATCGCATGTCTTCATTTAGTTGTTTTGTTAATTAACATATTTGATCTTAAAAAAAACATTTTTATACCCGAGTAAGAGTGTGTTTGGTATTGTGGTAGATGTTATGGTTGTGATTTGAAAAAAATTATCTTATAAAAAGTATTTTTAGTCGAGGTTAATTTGAAAAAATAGATGTTTGGTTAAAACTGTGGTTGAAATTGAAGTTGAAGAAAAAGTAATTTAATGTGTTTGGTTAAAAAAACTTTTGAAATTGAAGTTATAAAATATTTTTTTAAAATATATATTAATATTGATGATTTTAAATTTAACTATTATAGAATTAATTACTCCTATTATATCATAAAATAAATAATACTTTATATAAAATATTTGTTTTTATTTTATTAAACTATTTATAATTACATTACGTATAAAATTTGTTCGATAAGAATTATAGTTTTCATAATTTTTTAAGCATGTAACAAAATTAGATAAAATATTATTAAGTATAAAATTAATATTACAGTGCGAGTAAATTTAATTTACTCTATATTAGTTTTTCGAGAAAAAAATATTATTCACATCACGGTGCAAATAAATTTAATTCACTATAAACTAGTTTTTAAAATATTAATAAAAAAATATTAATGAGATTAACACTTAAAAAAATATTAATGAAATTAACATTTAAAAAAATATTAATAAAATTAAAGAATATTAATAAAATTAACACTTAAAAAAATATTAATAAAATTAATATTTAAAAAAAATTAATTAAATTAACATTTTAAAAAATATAATAAAATGAAATGAAAAAAAAAACTGTATGAACAGTGCAAGTGAATTGCTCTGTTTACGTGAAAAGCAGTATTTATCTGCTTTTTATTAACGGTGTTTTAAATGTAAAAATTATATGGGATGCATGTACAATAAACTAATTTTTTTTATCAAATAATTATAAATTGTATTTTAATTAAAACGCAGCCGCGTAAATAAATAGCAAAGAGAGCAATGATTTTGTTTTATGATCAAGAATGACGTGTACTTCTACAGTTGGGTTGGGTTGCTCTATACAGAAACTGTTCTTTGAAAAGAAGCTGGGCTCTTAACAGTGGACAGTGATATTCTTGCCTGCATCCATCGAACCAGGGGAAGCCCATACGATGACAAAAGGGCCGAAACTGAACTGAATTATTTGACGAAGGAAAAAGGTCCAATGAGGGATACTCGAAGCCTTGAAGTGCTTCCCAACTTCCGAGGGACGATGAGAAGCTCCGATGATCGTAACTACTCAATTCGTCGCAAAATACTCCTAACTTACTTTTATCGACTCACAATTTGATAGGAATATAACCACATGGCAAGACCAGAATATTTACAGTTTAAAATATTTTTTATTTAATAATATGTTAAAAAATATTTTTGATATTAGCATATTAAAACAATTTTAAAATATAAATAATAATAATTTTTAGCTAAAAAATTAAATTTAAAAAAACACTATTCACACTACATTTCCATTCCATAATCAGCTTGAACAGTCACCAACTCTCGTATGATTTTTTGGACTGAACGAGTACCGGACATTGCAACTGTAGACAGCTAAAATCAAATATTCATCACATTGCTGCGTTTGATTACAGAACCAGTTAATCTTGCATCCCCTGCAATGACATGGTGGATACTCACTTTATGGATTTTATCGTCCTCAACTTCAACTTTTGCTCTCCTTTATTGTCAATTTCCCCTCTTTTGAAAGCATAAAGGCCGTGTTTTGCTTTTGTTGGGCATGTTTTTGTAATTTTATTTTTATTTTTAAATATTTTAGATTGTTTTGTGGTATAAATATTAAAAATAAATTTTAAAAAATAAAAAAATAAATTTTTCAAGTAAAAAATACTTTTAAAAATAATTATTACTACAATATTAAATGCTATTTAAAAATAATCAAAATAATTTTTTTATTTTTTATTTTTAACTTTAGCATATTAAAATTATATAAAAAAATTAATTTAATAATTTTTAAAATAAAAAAATATTTTT